TTCTCAGTACGGTGACATCTGAGGGTTTAAGGAGGTAGCTGCCACAATAAACTGCAGGTTGTTGTTATTTGGGAGGTTTGGGGTCTTATCCTGAATTAATAATATGAAAGAGGGAGGTCTGCAGGGAACTCTGTTCGCAGGTTCATGGTAGTGAATTACTGAGTGAATATCTCCATCATACAACCTCAAGCAGTGTTTGGAGCTTTAATATGTTTCAAATATGCCACCTTAGTGTGAGAGGTAAGCTTTATTCCTATGTCCAGGGGTTAGCGTATTGTGGCCTTCGAACACTACATCACTAGTTTTCAGTTTTAATTTTGATTTTACATGCATCCCAACTTTTTCTGATTTGGGATTGTAGTTCCTCTTGCAGTTCCTCTGTGGCTACCTTTATCTGGGTTCCTGTGTAGCCCCCTGGCCTCCTATAAATGAATGAATGAATGAATTAATTAATTAATGGCTTAATGTGATAAATATATTATGAAACATGGCATACTGCTTTTTTTAAGCAGCCATCATCCAGTTAAAGCCTTCATTTTAGGATAAGCTTCATGACTTAAATGGACACCTAACAATAAAGAAAACAAACAAAACAATTCCAGTATTTAAAAATGTAGTCTTATAAGCTTCATAAATGTGGTAATTATGTGAGATATAGAACCTGATTGCATCTTTTTTAACTGCCACTCTGAAAAACTTCAGCATTCTGAATTTTACCTGAGGATTGTCTACGTCCTCTGATATTATAATGTTTCATTTCTACAGTCCTGCCAGAACATGCTCAGGTTCTTCTGAAGGATGTGGTGTGGTTTCAGAATTTTTGTCTAGAACAGGAAAAAGACTGAATTATTAGTTAATACATTGTTAGCAAACAGACAACAGATGCACTGATAATTAAAATACGTAACCCTGGATTTAAATGGTAAACGGACTGTATTTATATAGCGCATATTTCACAGTGTGTTACACTGGCCAAAGTGCTTTACAGGAGATCATACACCGATGACGAGAGGCTGCTGCACACTGGCACCAGTTGAACCACCGGGAGCAATTTGGGGTTCAGTGTCTTGCTCAGGGACACTTAGGCATGCAGGGAGACCGGGAGTCCAACCACCAACTTGCTGGTTAGACTGCCCTACCTCGTGAGCCACTGCCACCCCAGCTGGTTTTAAGCTTTAAATTACTATTTTAACCAGCAATATAAGTACAGGCTTACTGTATATTTATTTATCAAGATCAGGTTTATGCCAGCTCCTGGACAGGAGTCAGATTCGGTCCCTGATGGAACTGTGTCCATGTCGGGGTCTGGACTGTGTGGGGGGTCTCTCCCTGCTGGTTAGGTCCCCAATTTGGGGTCTGGCCCTGACCTGCTGTAACACAGTGACCAGGGCATTACATCACAGATGCAATGCCACTGCTGGCATTAGTCCACAGGACAATGCAAGCAGTTGACACCTATCATTTGTATTACATCTAAGGTTAATCTTCCATTTGTGTGTAAAGTAAATAACCTTATGATTCTTGTTTAGTTAGCAGAGCATAGTGACGTGTGGAGACCTTTGATCTAATATTCAGATCTCAGAGAAAACACACAATGATCTATTTTGAAAGTTGAATATTGTTATATAAATAAAAAGGATATGATCTCCACTAATGTTAGCTGTTCCACCTCAGGTGTTGCTCTGTAATTCTGAAAGTAACCATGGTTAACCTGGTTAGCTGAGCAAGGTTAGCCGCTAACAAGAAGCAGCCTCTGATAATAGCAGCTCAATCACATTAAATAACTTAATTGAAAAAAGAATTCATAACTGCATAAATGATGAATAATCACAAAATTAAACCTACCCCAGATGAACCATTGTCCACCATCCCAGTGTTTGTTTTGCCACTTCTGCAAACTCAGGACCACACTACACTCTGGCACCAGCAACAGAAGTGGTTTCCGGTCAGATATGTCGTCTCTGACTTCTGTCAGCCACATGTCAATTATTTCCACCCCCATGTAAAAACCATGTCAGTCACCTTCGAAAACCAAAATATTGAACTGTGAAGGAAAGCTGAGGCTTGGGAGCAAAGGGGGAGGAGAAACATAAAAGCTGTCAAACGATCTGAAAATACCGATCAGCAGTTTTAAACAGTAAATTGAGTATAAATGATTACATGAATGCTGCTTTGGTTACAAGTTTAAAAGTTTGTTAATTTTAAATTATTGTTTTTATTTATGGAATTATTTTATTTGCTTGCGGTTTTAGGTTTATATTTAAGGTATTTTTCAAATTTACAATATTTTTTTATTTATTTACATTGAGCTGGCCTTGTTTTGATGCCATAGATACAGTGACATTATCAGTTTTTGCATAATTCTTAGTTTTGTTGATCAGTCAAGAGAAATCCTTACATAACTAACTATCTTAGACATCTAAGTAATGTCAAGTAGTAGTAACAACCCTAAAGCACCTTTGGCAAGGTTTGGCTGGTCTGAACTACTGTGACTGAAATCATTTTCTACTTATGCCCTCTCTGGCAGCTGTTACACACACTTTGATCAGATCACAGGACCTAAATCCCGACCTTGACAATGGAAGCCAGAAATGCTCATCTGATGGCCAGGGTCAGTATCTGGAAACAACTGACAGGTAAGGTAGTTAGAGCAGGGGAGTAATGGCAACAGACAGCAGTGACAGGACAAAAAAGGAGGAGGCAAGGTAGGAGCAGATGGAGACAGATGATAGCACTGGAGGAAAAGAAGACAGAGAACAGAGGAGGAAGAGATTGAGAGTGAACTCCAGAGAAAAGGGGATAGGTAGATGGAGTGATTGAAGGAGGAGATTTAAAAATAAGAAAGACAGAATGAAAAAAACAGATCTTGGAAACCGCAGGTGACAAAAATAATCTCAAGTACTTAATGTGCTCAAACAGTAATTTGAACATCTCCAATTTCCAGACCTCATCTGCTGATGAAGGTTGTAGGATTTGATTGAAAGTTTCAGAACAGCAGCTAATGTAATGGATGTAGTAGTGAGATCATTTTAAATTGCTCTTATTTTTGTATTTTGTATTATTGGACATAATTTTTTTGTCAAGAGCTGCTTTTAAAAAAATTAAATCAAGTTTGAATGAATAAGAATGTATACAATTAGTTCAAGTTAATTTGAGTGCAACACACAAACCTAAACTAAACTGCAGAACTGGCTGTGTTCATAGTTTATATGTGACAGGTTTTTTTGTAATGGTATGTTACTATAAGTAAGGCAAGTGGTATTTAAGGTGACTGTAACTGTAATCTGTTACTACATAATCATCTTTCCATTGCTTCCCTACAAATGCATCCTCCTGATGGGGAGAAACAAGACTGTCCTCCCCTCATGCTATTAAAGAAAAAAAAGCTTTAACCTGGTAAAGCTTTTGTCTCCAAGTTGCCTGAGGGAGCAAGAGAAAGACAGAGCAGGAGGCAGGGCTGCAAGGTAAAAGTCAGTGCAAAGCCTTCAGAGGAAAAGTGAACATGATGAATGAGGAAAACAGAGAGCAAACTGGGAGAAAGAGACAGAGGTGTGTGAGTTCAGGGGAACAGGGAGGCCACGCTGACTGCATAATTGGTATGTGCGTACACATGTGCACAGACTCACACACATACATTACAGTGGAGTGTGAAGTGATGCTTTAGTGGCTGCTACATTAGCTTCATTAGATATGCAAAGCAGCCAATTAGCACTTCCTGCTATATCCACATAGCAGGAAGTGACATGTTCCACCTGAAGAAGCCCAGATACAAAGGCAGCATTCAGAGCCAGCAGTAAATTAGCCCTCTGTGAGCCTGTGTGTGTGTTAAATTATAGGTTTATTAGCTGTAAGTTGAAAAAAAAATCTAACTCAAAATAAACTCAGTTGAATCTCTGAAGAAGAAAATGTATCCCTCTCCAGCAAAATGTCCATCTTTGCATCCATCTCACTGTTTTCTTGCCAACATATTGCTGTGAAATTGGCTGCAAATGCAAAACAAACAGCTGCAGTAAGGTATTGTATGTGCTTCGAAACTGTGTGTGGACTCCCTCCTGGCAGACTGCTGAGCATCAAATTCAACAGCAGGAGGATATAAGACAATATCTGCAGTGTCTTTGGTTTTGGCTGATGTTTCATCAGAGCATCAAAAAGCATGTCCAACAATAGAAATACAACTGCCCACTAGCTTTAGACAAGTATACTGGTATTTTATTAAAAACAACACAGTAGCCAGTCATTGTTGTTCCCCAATATGCAGCCTTGGGGGTGCATCATTCTGGTTTAATAAAGTTTGCACTTTATTTTATTCCTGTGGCTTGATCTGAAGTCAAGCCGTGTCCACATTATATTCAGTTATGGGGCCAAGCTGTATTGTTGCAGGTCTCAGATGTTAATAACACCCAAGTGGATCTGAACAAACTCATGAGCAGCTCTGATCACATGTACTGTAATTACCATCAAAGGAGAGAAAGGCTTTTGTTAAGTGTGATCAGTGAAGCACAGGTAAAATGACGTACATTTCTGCTCTTTCTGATTGCAGCAGCTTGAGCTGGCGGTGCATCATGCGGCCACTACTGGTGGTATTCTCTTAGTTCACATCGGCCACATTTTTCCATTTGGTCTGATTATTCTTTGGTCTACTCGGATTGAATCCGGTTGTCAGTGAATCTCTTTAGTTTTATAAATTTAAGTTTATATTCACTTTACAATCTCATTGTTGCTAGAAGGTAAAGATGGACTGTACTATTTTAAAAAAAAGTGTCCCATGATTTTTCAAAAGTTTTTTCAGACATTATTTTTACATTGACACAAAATAGGTATCAGCAACTTAAAATTTTTTACTTAAGCCTTTAGTCTTTCACAGTATCAGTAAAACTCCATCCACCTGCACCTGTGCTCTATTTATCCAAGCATGACAGCCTGTTCATTCTTTTCATTAGTGCCCAGCGTTTCCACAGTCAGCAGATTTTCTCTTTTTTTTTTAATTGTCTCTTTTTCAGGTGCTGGTTTGGCACACTCGCACAGAGAAACCACACCTTGTAAACGAGCCCAGACTTCGAAAGGACCCTGTGGTCATTGAGGTGTGAGAGGAACAGCAGCCAGAAGCTGATTGCAGCTGCTCATCATCTCTTGGCTGGGACTAACAACAGCACCCTGCTTTTTCTACTAATTGGTTTAATACAGTCTGTTCATCCTGGACACAGACTCCAAGGGAGCTGCATGATTCAAGACTTCCAGCTGCCAGTCAAATGTGCTTTGTGTGAACTGAATGGCATGGGCTGAATATGCTCACTTTACAAACTGGGATGGTTCATTTCTTCCATCCATGGCTTGCTCATGTAAAACACTGAAGTATAAATGTAAAGAAAATATCATGTTGTTCACTTAAAAAGTGCCATGTGAATCATAATGTCATTTTTAATCATTAATACATGATTGTCAACTGTTATACCATGATATAATTACCCTAAACAAGGGTTGTGGTCCTGATAATTGGTAACTTCCTATATTTTATGACAATGGTTTTGTAGTGCTAATGTTTCTCAAAGTTCAAGAAATTTTTTACATTTTGGGGAATATGTTTATTTGTTTTCTTTCTGAGGAGAAGGGATAAAGCATTGGTAAGGATCCAGAATCAGGGCATGGTTTGCATCAAGTTGCATCAAGCAAGAAGCAGCTAGTCTGTCCATCTTTGTTCACCTGTTTCATTTAACCCATGCATAAACTGAAACAGTAAAAGAAAAAATGTCAGGCTGTAGTTTTTCAGGGAAGTTATATGATGTAATTACTGTGTATCTTTGGGAAAAACATCTGGGTGTGCACCAGAAATGCTCCGCAAAATTACAAGGCCGATGGATATTTTGCTATTCAGGAAGAACTATCTCACAATCACAGATTGTCATTTTTTTACATTGCTATTTAATGTTTTAAACAAACTACACAGAATGTAGTCTAATTAGCTTTCAAGGTGCTGCTCCCAGTCTTTAAGATAAATATGTCTCCACTTCAGCTGCATACTTAACTCGAAACAGGCATTCTTTTCTCATCTTGCTACTGGAAGATAGCAAGTAAGTGTATTTGCAAACATACAGAATGATTTATTTCATAACACTCCATACCTCTTTCACTGAGCAAATGAAGATGTTTGAAGGGAAGCTCTTCACTCCTTTAATCACCTGCCAAAAGTCTTTGCTTCATTTCTACTGGAAGAACAGCACCTTTCTCCATGTCTTCATGGTGGCTCAGTTGCCAATTGGAGGCAGACAAAAGCAACTAGATTTTCCAGCTCTAGTCCTACCTCTTTTATGTCTCAAATTCATTGTGGTAATTACTGATGCCTAAATGCTATATAATCATCAAATCATTGCCCAGCTCATATATAATGATCTCAGTGGACCTTTGCTCTGCTCTTAGCCTGTATTTATGTTAGGAAAACCCACCATAAAGTGTCTTAGTAAGGTGTAACAGACAGACTGCTAGTTTCACAGCTCAGATGTGTAAAAAAAAGGATATTTTTATAACAGTATTATACTGGACACACAAGTTTAAAGCGAAATTAACGTGTTAGTGTGCGATGTATACTGGAAACAAAAAGAGGATTAAATCCAGGATTCAACAGCCTTTATTCCACATGACTCTGCTGTAAAATGTGGGACAGAAACAAAGGAGCAAACAAAATTCTCAAAAGATAAATCAACACGTTTACAGTTGAGAGTCACTGGACAAAGATGAACGCAGAAAACCATTTCTGGCTATTTATTGTTCTACTATTCGGAAATCACTTTTTCTCTCTCTGTACTAGGCACCAGAAAATGTAAACACATTGGAAATAAACCTGGAGGACAATAGAGTTATCAAATATATGTGTGTGTTGTTCACACTACCCACATGTACTGTATAACAGGGTGCTACAGTTATTGCATGACAAAGAGAGAATGGATCTCTGCATCGGCACTCGGCAGTGTCGCTGTAGCTCTGTGCGTGGATGTGTGTATGTGTGCTTTGTTCATTTCTGCTCTTGCTCTTCTGTCCTTAGCCTCTAGATACACGGATTGTACAGTGATGATGGACCTATCCAGCGTTTTCATACAGGACCCTTTTCTAGCACTGTCCAGTCCTGGTCCACCTCATCAGCCTCTTTTTGCCAGCCCAGTGCTGTGATTGGTCATCCACGTTTATTTGCTTCAGATTAACTGTGCTTCTCTTGTACTGCATATAACAAAACACCACAATAAAGATGGCAAAGTCAGAATGTACTATTATAGCATCATATATAGGAGAAATGTTTTTGATGTCCCATTGCTCCAATGTTAAGTGGATTTTCTATCCTGCAGTTGGAACTGAGGTGAAAGTTCACTATCTCTGCTGTTCTCCGCCAACAATCTGAGAGGCAAATCCACAACACGATAGAACGAGTGATATAGTACCTGCTTTGCTATTTAAAGTCCAGAAAAGACAAACTGCTGTGATTTCAGCGGTGCTTTAATTTGCCCCAGGGAGTGCAGGGAGAAGCAGCATATTTTAACAACAAGGAATGTCTTAATTGGGTCAGAGACCCGTTTTCACTGAACCCAGCTTGTTTGAGTTTAAAACATCACAGCAAGGCTACCAAAGACACCAAGGGGACCCAGGGGCTGCCCAGCAATTACTGAGACTTAAAGGGGATCCTTGACATTTGTTTTTCTTTTTTTTTTAACTGACAGTTTGAGAAACCAGGTTGGACTGATCTATTCATCTGCTTAGTGATGCTGGGTAACAGGCCAGATGGTGTCTGTCACATTCAAATATATCAGTGGTTCTCAACCTTTTTTAGCTTTTGACCCTTTTAAGCTAAGAAATTCTATTTGTAATTGTGTTTTCTAAAAAGAGCTATGATGAAAAATGACTTTACAAACTGGTCTGCACTTTTATACAGATAAGCTCTTCCTCTGCAAAGAAAAACAACAAAACCTGCCTGGCATGTTATAATTTATGGATGAACATGGCCTCCATTCATTTCATCTACACTATGTATGCACAGCCACATGGTACGCAGCTAATAAGTAATGCATATACAGCGGCTCTGTCCTGTTTGTTGACAGGTCTATCAGCACCACCAACCTAAAATGCATATTGTGATCCAATCACTTAAATAAAAAGACCTATGGTGATACAATATGTCACTACCCATATACTGACTCCAGACACAGGTTATATGTTTATAGCAGGTGAAAATGGAGCAAAAGAGGTGGTTGACAAAGTTAAAACCCAGACAGATGTGTTGTTGGAGCTGTACTACAACTAGAACACAGCTAGTTTACGGGTATGCTGGATTTTATAAACAGAGGGATAATACTGGCCCCATTCTGTATATTGGTCCAAACCTGCAAGCTAATATGAAATATTTAAACACTGGTTAGAAAACTGAAGAGCTAAACACAGTTAGGAAGGATAATGGGCTAAATCACATGAATATAAATGATCTAGCTTCATTTCAAATGCATAATGTATCCACAGTGGACACCCCAACCTGGTTGCAAGTTTGTAATGACTCTGCCTCCACTCCCACCTAATGGTCATGAAGTCATTATACACTCATTAATCATTTCATGGGAAGAGGGACAAAAGAGAGTGACCGGACAAAATCTAAGAAGAAAATCCATTATACTATTACACAACAGCCCAAGCTATAAAAAAGATGGAATAGGTAATCAAAGCTTCTTCTCTTTGGCTGTTAGAGAGGCTGAAGGAGTGCGGTCATTACTGCACTGGGCTTTGCAAAGTTAGGGAACAGAACATTATATATGACCATTTATTAACTTTTAGGACCTGAAGAATGGAACTCTTTCACAGGTGGTATAGAGGAAAAAGACAAAATATTTCTGACCATTTTATTTAGGTTACAAGAAACACAGTAAACATGTCAGTGTGCTCACTAAAATATAAATGAGTGGAGAGACTGGAGTGGAATAACAATGAGTCAAAACATTAAAATGAGTTAATCACCACCATAACATAAATTAATCACCATTATGCTTTAGACAGATGACACATTTGTGTCTGCTCTGTGTGCTACCTGGCTCATGCTCCACTGTCCTTGCTGCATGTTGTACAATTTTTGTCCTTGGCTGACTGGCATCCCACCCTGCTACTGCATGCCCATGTAGCCACTGTTGGGTATAGCTATGCCTGGCATCATGGCCCCTACCCTCATGATGGTGGTGGGTGGTGCAGCTCTGGCCACTCCTGGGGTGAAGCCCTGAGGAGTGAACTACATCTGAGGCTGGCCCATGTACATACCTGCTGGAGCAAAGACACAATGAATCAATCACACAGTATTAGATTTGTACAGGATGTCCTGTTAGCTTTCCACCAAGCAAACTTTCTATTAAACAAAAAGTAAATACATTGACTTTTGAACAAACTGCCATTAATCCAGTTTTGCTTTGATTTACTACAAGAAAATACATGACATGACATCTGGAAAAATGTGTTTTTCAGAAAACTAATATTAAACAACTTCAGAATGTCAGGCTTCCACATAAGTGAGCTAAAATATTTAAAACTTTTAAGACTTTAAAACAACATGTAAGCCAAGACCACTACAGTCACTAGCTATGTGACTGGAAAAATCTGTGGAAAACACTTTGTGGTCCTCACTAGAAAAGTGGTTTATAAATTAAATGAATTTTTTAAACATTATTCAGTGTCAACACCCACTGCACCATGTGTTTGGGTGTCAAGATAATTTTACAATTATAATGCTCTCATGTAATCCCAACTGATATCTAATACTATTTACAGTTGGCATTTCTTCAGCAATAGCCCATCAGCTTTGGTGTGGCTGTGGCTCAGGAAGTAGAGCGGGTTGTCCCCTAACCATAGGGCTGGCAGTTTGATCCTTGGCCACTCAAGTCTACATGTTGAAGTGTTCTTGGGCAAGATACTGAACCCCAAGTTCCTCCTGGTGATGTCACCAGTAAGTGAGCGAGTGGATGGGCCAATAGTGTAAAGTGCTTTGAGTGTGCTTCCTTGCATAGAAAAGTGCTATATAAATATAAGACCATAGCTATTCAATGTATTTACACTCTGTAGTTACCTCTCCATATAGTATAGTTAAAGTATATAAATCCATTAAATGTAGTTTACATAGTTATTGGCAGAATCTGCCACTCCAGCGAGATTTGGATCTGGTTATTCACAGGAAACAACAAAGCATTAAGTTCAGAATTAAAGACGCAATAATTTGATCTCATTACTACAAGGCTAACTGTTCACTCCGCACTTTCTTACTGCCATATCAGACCTACTGTACATTAAGTTACTGCTGAAACTAACAGAATATGTATTACTGCTGCTGTTTAACATTAAAAGTATTCAGTAGAAAAACATTTGAATGCAATTTTATTGTGAAGGAATGAATGCAATGCATTCAGCCTAGAGGTTAGTCCTCAATACATCAACAAAACAAGCCAGTCATTTTTGTCAATTGCTGTTAGCAGGAAAGTTAGAATTATTGCAAAGGGAGAATAAAACAAGCAGAGACAGCCCCATTGAGTTGTTGGCTGGATAAAGAGCTGCAGGTGACAGACTCTTCTGTTGCATGTCTAACCCAGGGTTTGATGCTACAGGTTCTTTCAGCTTCTGGCCAGAGCCTCAGCACTCAGTTGTGAAAGTGATGATAAGGGGGTCCAGAGGATGCCTGGGGGGACACAAGGCAGTGACATGGCAACAAAACAGCCAAATTTGCCCCCAACCCAGCCATCCCCTCACAGCACCAAACAGAGAACAAACCGTGGGGCATTGTGATGTCCCTCCTAATTCTACACACCTGGTTCCTGTGAAAAGCCAAGATGACATCATCAGCTGAGTCGAGAAAAAAAAAAAGACAGACAGCTGTTGATCTATTGTTGTTCAGATTGCCTCTTCTTTTTGATTTCCTTTGTTGTTGTCTGAGGCAAAAACAGCACAATTGACAAAAAAGAAAGCTGCTGGAACAATAACCCACAAGTGTCTATTGACTAACGGTGGCTAACCAGGAGAGTAGGAAGGAACAGGACGGACAGGTGAATAGACACTAACCAGGAGGATTGGCGAACAAAAAAGGAAAACTACAGCACAGGAACTGTCAGCGTGGATATCAAAAACAGAATGTCTAGCTAGCTTAATGGAAAAAAAACAAAGAGATCCACAGCACAGGAACTGTACTTGGAAGCTTGGAAGTCTAGAGACGAATAACACAAAACAACATAACCAACGCACATAATGTGATCCACAGCACAGGCACTGTCAGCGTGGAAAACAATATGACAAATAATACATACCACGAATATAGGGTGGTTACGGGGTATGCAAGCTAGGTAAGGTAAGTAACGTAATGCTCCGGTGACGACGGAGCGTCTGCCAGAGGTATAAATGAGGACAGGTAATCAGTGGGATGCACCCCAGCTGTGCACACCGACAAACGAGTCGCTAATTACCGAATGCAACACAGCTGAGGTGCAGATCCCGCAGGTCGAGAGAACAGAGGAGAGAAAGGCGGAAGAGAGGCAGGTCACGCCGAGCGGACCTGACAATTACAGATGGAGGATAATCACCTTTATTGGCCAAGTATGTTACACACAAGGAATTTGTTTACAGTACAGAACCGAGGCAGCCATCTGTGGCGCCAACTCAACCGATGGCTCTAACCACTGGGGGCAACGGGGGGTTCAGTGTGTTGCCCAAGGATACCTCGACATGTAGACTGCAGACACTGTGATTCGAACCTCCAACCCTCTGGTTGGGAGACCACTGCTCCACAGTCCCCCCCCCCCCCTTTTTTTTATAAGGATATTCACATGCATAACTGTTCTCCAAACTAGAAACTAGGGATCAGGAAGCTCCAAAGAGCCACAAGGTCAATCAGAGATTGATTATAGGACTAATAAAATAACAAACATACTGCATGTCTGGCAGTTTTCTAAAAGTGATTATCAGGATGTCCTTATAAGTCCCTAAAAAGCATCCAGTTAATCCAAAATGCTGCAGCTAGCCTCCTCTCCTCTCCTCTCTCTGTAGTGGTGGCATCTATATGCCACCACTACATGTCACTAATTGTATCTCCGCTCTCCTGTAGTGTGTCCTCTCTCTCTCCCTGTACCTCTCTGCAGGTAGCCCTAGCTCTGGAGCTGTATGTTTTTGATGGGCAGTCACTGGCCACATCAACCTGCCCAGTGTTCGTTGTGTCTTGTTGCTTTTCTTTTCTTTCTCCTCTATCGAATCACCCCAACTGGTCGAGGCCGAAGGCCACCAACCAAGAGCTGGAGTCTGTCAGAGGTTTCTTCCATTAAAGGGAGTTTTTTTCTCCTCACTGTCACTAAGTGCTGCTCAAAGGGGATTTATTGTTTTTTTTCTCAACAATAATAATAATAATAATAATGTTAGACCTAGACATTGTTATGTAAAGTGCCCTCAGATGATTTTGGTTGTGATTTGGTGCTATACAAATAAAACTGAATTGAATTGAATAAAAAAAAACTGTAGTTTTAACTATTTTATTTATTTATATGTGATGGTGCTGCAGTAAAACCTGCATTAAATGGTTCTTTTGGTCATTTAAGGGCAGAAACACAAGCTATTCCATTCCATTCCATTCCAACTTTATTTATAAAGCACTAGAAACAACCAAAGTGGACCAAAGTGCTGTACAGTGTAAATAACAATATACATTAAAAATCAACATAACTTACATAATGTACAGATAAAATCAACACCAATATAAAATATCAAAAAGCCAACGAGAAGTTTTCAAAAGGGACTTGAAAACAGGTAAAGAAGAGGCTTGTCTGGGCAGTTGTAAATCATTCCACAATTTGAGAGCAGCAGCCGCAAAGGGACGATCAGCTTTGTTCTGGGCACACTCAAAAGAAACTGATTAGCTGACCTCAAAGAACGCGTAGGCATATACCAGTGAAGCAAGTCAGATAAATAAGAAGGTGCAAAGCCATGAAGGGATTTAAAAACAAATAATAAAATGTTATAGTGGATCCTAAAATAAACAGGTATAACCATAACCATAACATCTGACATCTTAGCTTCCATTTTAGCACTGTTTTGGAAATAGTTGGTTATGTAGATGTTACTGCTCCACAAGGTTCACCAGCTAGTCTCTAATTGAGTCTGTCTGCTCTTTAGTACTAAGTATTAATGTACAGTTGGCTTATCAGAGATTTTATGTTGAGACGAGCTGCCTGTGAAACCAAAACAATGAACTAAAGATACCAAAATGCACAGTAGAGCTGAGAGTTAGATGATGATGATGGGCTTATTGTTCAGTGGCACTTTTCACATAGCCACTGTTTCAATCATAAAAATAACAGCAGCCTCTGCTACACATTCAACCTAAACACAACTTCACACAAGCTAAAACAGTAAGGCTAGTGGCCACAAAGCAAGTCACAGCAATGACATTTGCAATGCAAGCACAGCAAAAGTAAATGATGCAAAACAAGATGAAGGTTGACCTTGCTTGTTGCCACTAAAAAGAAAATGAAAGGCTGACAATCAATGAAAAGCTGATTGCTCTATTGTTAGGCAAGCTGCTACCAAATATTGGGCCATGGTTTGTTGAATAGTGTAGCTATACCGCTATCTGTATTCAGATGATATACAGTATAGGTTGAAATATAGGCTGCAGAGCTCAAATCAGGAAAGGACTTTGCTGTGAGTGGGTTTTTGCTCAAGTTTGAAGATATGAACATGTGGAGCTGCTGGAAAGGATGATCAAGCTCAGCTAAGTAAGCCTGCCTAATTAAGGGTTAATAAAATGCAACATGTGTGTTACCTTGCCCTGGAGCAAGTTGTTGCTGGCTCTGTGGCTGGCTGCCCACTGAGCTGCTGGCATACAGAGATAGGATAGAGTCTTTAGATAAAAGCTTCTTCTCCTCTGCCTTGGTGGTTGTAGTGGTGGAGGTAGAGGAAGAGGCAGAGGAGGTGGTGGAGAGGTCTGTCTGCAGAGGTGCTGAACTGGAATCAGCCTATGAGGGAGACAAAAGGGGGGAGGGGATAAAGTGAAATGTCATAAAATACATATAGTTTCACCAAAAAGTATTTTTAATGTTATGCTATATGTTATACAGTTACACAGTATATTATACTGTACATGACTTGGGCAACCTTATGGATGTCCACCTTCAGGTAAATACAAGGTAGTTTTGGATGTACCAGCTGGGTCATATTCAACATGCTGCTGAACAGAAACAATGCTCTCACTAATCAGTTGGTTCTCACCACCTCTGTGGGTCTGCATCTGCAGCCAGATAGAACCATGAACTAAATAAAACAACCAAGTTAGAAACACTAACTAAAATCTGAAATTGTCTGAAGAGACACTTAGCAAACAAGATCACAAATCTGAGCAGACATTCGATGCCAACTTCTGGGACTTGACAGCTGATGACAGGCTGTGCTTTGAACATATTTTGGTCATCACCAAAGAGGTACTGGGCTACCATATCTACCCTTATCCCAACATTACTTCATGTTATTTAACATTTAATTGGTGAAATTCTTGGTCTTCTTTCACATTGGTTGACAAACAGTCATTATCTACAATTGTCAATTTTGTGGTGTTTTTGCTCATGTTGGTCTTGATTTGATTTGATTTGATTTATTCTTTCAAACATGTAACAACAGTCAATATGTCAACACATAATTTCACACATATCCACAAATGCATTATCAATTTGCTTATACCTAGTACATGCTTGAACGGAGTAGGAAGAAGTTAGACTTATCTAGTCCTACCCCCTAACATCATCTTATCATCATTGGTTTGCAAGCAGTATTACTACATAGATAATTTTGTTCTGCACCACGCTAGTGATATACTAAAACAAGACACTCACAATGTTACACCTGATTAATCGTTAAGCCTGTTCTTGCCCATATCTTGATTGACACATACCTTTATATTTGTGTTTAAACTCATCAATTCTCTTACTGTTTTTTATGTCCACACTTAAATTATTCCATAGTTTTACCCCACTTATGGAAATACAGAATCTTTTTTT